GCGTGTGGTCGCTGGGGGGGACTCTCCCAGTTCTCCCCTATGGTCTGATCTGGGGGGTGGGTGGGCGGATCTTCCCGTGCGGGTGTCCCTTGGGGCTCTGTGCTCGGGATTCCTCTTGGGCCCTTGGGCTCTGGTCTTCCCTGTGTCTGCCTCATGTCTTGGGGGTTGGGTCTCGGTCCTCCACAGTCACTATTAAATATTCCATTGGAGAAATCTTGTATATACACACATGTTCACAACCGCTCACAAACAGGTGCTCTGATCCGGGGGTTCTGACAGGTCACTGAGTGTGTATGTATGTCTGTGTGTATATATGTCTGTGTGTGTATATGTGTCTGTGTGTATATACAGACAATATTTATGAATGTAGGCATGTATGTATGTATATCTTTATATAGAGTATGGTATGTGTATATTTTTATATATGCCCTCCATGTATTTATCCATTTATTTTTCAGGTGAGCGGACAGATGTTGGGTGTGTGGTCCTGTGTTTTGTTGGTGTATATTTAATATACTTCTAATCGCTATTTCAATCTTTCTATGTTTTTAATCACTTCTCTCTGTCTCTATTTTCTCTTCACTTAAAAAAAGTCACTGATGATGAAGAAATAAATAAAATAAATAAACTAATATTTGATTTCATTTTCTACTGAAGGGACAAAAAAAAGAACTACTGTATTTTGATGCCGAATCTGTTCATCTCCTCTCTCTTTGACAAAAAACAATAATAAATATTGTTCTGAGAGGAAAAACTCCTTCGCCATCCGAGTTTCCTTTCTGTTCAAACATTTATGATATCAGTGGGAATTATGGGTAGATATTGCCACAAAAATACTTTGCAAATGCCTTTGCAACAAAGAACATCCCAAATTATTCACATCAGTGGACCTGTTAAAATATTTCATATCAGGAAATATGAATTATATTTAAATCCTTTAAGCACATTTTGTGGGAAAAAATACAACTAGACTTTAACACATCTCTTTGGGTACTGAACTTGATGAACTTTTTCCATAGTTTCCACTGCATGCCACTATCCTCTGCAGAARCTTGTTAATCACTAATGTTTTAGATCAGGTGTACTGAATCAGAGAAACATCTAAAACGTAGGAGAGTGGCCCTTGAGGACCAGAATTGTAGTATGTCTTCTTGGGAATTACAGCCACAGTTAAAAAGGAGACTAAACAAACTTCACATTGACACTGAATATTATCCGAAGAGATTTCCTGACACACGGCAACTGATAGAGAAAAATAGTCCATGTCAAAATAAAAGTATTAGAAATCAAATGATGGTTTCTGTAGAAAGCCATCATGTGAGAAAACGTCATTCTGACTTAGTTGGCCTGCACAGTTCACGTCACATACATAAGCAACAGTGGAGGCAGGATGTGGCCAAGGGTGGTCTTGGCCACCCTAAATTAGTCTTTGACCACCCTGCTGCCTACCCAAACATGTTTTTGTGAAACCATTTCAAGGTGATCAGTAGAACAGCACTGCTCCAACCCGAAGTTCTCCACCCAAATACTGTAGGTGGTGGTGGTATTAAAGTCAGCTTGAATGTCTACCAGTAACACGTCACAGTGTGTCTGAAGACTGGAGAGATCAACATCATCATTAAAATTCTACTCAAATTAAAACATTGTATCTTTTAGATGGCAASAATGATATTTATATGACATTTTTATAAATGTATATATAAATTGTCACATGGATGTTTTGAGTAAATGATGTCCTCTGGTGCGTGTGAGCTCTATCCAATTTGAACTTTTTAAAGTTTGGACAATGTCTGATGTCCAACCTTTTTAAATGAAACCACAGTGAGTTGACAGAGAGAAGACTCAGCCTGTAACTGAAAATRTGGGTGGAGGACAGCAGCTGCTTCCCTTCAGTTTAACTATTAGCTTTCACGTTAGCTCGAGAGCTAAGATATATTTCTTTTATGATGTGTTTTATTATTATTGTAAATAAATATTATTTTGTGTGTTTCAATGAATGAATAAATAAATATATAACAATATACGGTATTAGCTCGAGAGCTAATGCTACATATTGATTAGTAATACAGTATACAGTATATGGTGTTAGTTCTTGAGCTAATTTCATTAGCTTGAGAGGTAACATTAATAACATTAGCTTGGGAGCTAACACACATATTAATAATATATAGCAATATCGGATGTTTTAGTCTCAACTGTAACCTATCCCCAGAACGTATTGCATCAGTAACAAAATGACAACATGCTTAAGTGAAAAATGTAAACTTAAAGTAATTAGATGTTTTTACATGTCAAACAATGTTTAGTAGACTAGAGAAATAACTTATTAAGGTCAACATGTGCAAGWAAAATCAACAAACCTTAGATCATTTACAGCTACAAGTCCATGTATGAATCCAAGATTATTTATTTTTATTTAAGAATACATTGAGGAGATTATGCAGGTCTTCATTATGCAAGTCTTTATGAAAGTTATTACTGGGTATAGTAAAGACCAAAACATTGTTCTAGCTCTGCAGCAACTTGAGCCATTTTTGTGTGAGAAATGGTCCCTGTCAGTCACCCACTGACAGTTCTTTTACAAAGCCGTGCGCTCTTTAATGTGTAACAAGATTTTATCAATATAACTACAGACAACACAGTCAAGCTGAATAACAAACTGAAACGCAGCCAGGCAGAAAGAAATACCAAACCGCTTCACCAGTTATATTTCATGGTGTTAAATCCAGACAGCTTATTAAATCTCAGAGTTCTTTTTTTGCTGAGTCAGCAGCGTGGGTCCCTTTAAAACTCCACTGAGCGTCTTGATAAGACAGACACAGCTGGAGTTTAATCCCAGCACTTRGTTACTGTCCCAGAGAGTCTCAGTTAGTCAGTCATGTCAGAGAAAACATCCTTTCCTCTGGAGACAGTTTTGTCTTTCTGAAATCCATCTCTGCTGCACTCTTAATGCAACAGTAATACACTTAATTTGTTTACTGGAGTCAGAGTATTTACTAAGTGGACAGTAATGACTCCAATTAGCTTTAAATATTAAAGAAAGTTAAAGAAGTTCTGAGCTCAAGGTTGGAATTTAAAACCTTTTTATACTTCTCCTCTGCAATGACAGCATTAAAGAGGCATGGCATTTTGAAGCTGTTTTGTTTTTAAGGTGGCAGCTGCAGTAATTTTATTATATTATATTAATCATGTACCAAAGCATGAAACATTCTTAGAATCAGCAACATGAAATGTTTTTATTCCACGCTTCTTATGTGAATATGCACACATGAACTGCATTATATTCAATTTTTTTATGCACCCAACCTGTTTGGAAAATAGAGCTTTTATTAAATGAAGCTACGTTAAAAAAAACTGACATAAAATATGTCAAACCTATGGTGCCTGTCCGGTGACACTGGTTTAAAAAAAAAACTTGTGGCCACGTAGAAGAGGGGGGACAAAATTCTAATTACCGGTACTTCTTATTGAAAAAGGAAAGGGAAAAAATGGTATCACAAAACTTAACTCAAATGGTACAAATGGTTGATGATCCCAAAATGACGGAAACTTCTACAGATTGTATGAATCTTGACTTTATTCTGAGGAATACGAACATTTCTTTTACTTCGTATGTGGCACAGAAATGAAAACTAAATGTGTGCAACTCTCCAATCACACCTGACAAAATCAAGGAAGCTCTTCAGAGTCAAATAAACCATCAGGTACAGGTGGACTTACATCAGACATTTCTAAGATGTTCTCAGAAGAACTCACCCTGTTTTTACATTGTGTTTTCATTGAAAGACTTCCTCCATCAATATTTCAAAGCTGAATTGCTCCAATTAATTAATTATTTTTTAATGCCCCATTTCTTTACTGAACGATTACAAAACTGTAGCAATAAATTTATCAAAGACCTCGGTCATACTTTAGAGGAATCTCAGAACAAATTTATGGCTGGAAAACATATTATTGATGACGTAAGTTGGCTCTTGATATGTTAGACCAGAGGTGTCAAACCCAACAAGAAGGCCAAAATTCAAAGTTTGGTCCAAGCCAAGCAATCTGTCAATATTTTCTGAAAGAAAATGTCTATTTTAAATGTTATTTAACAAATTATTCTTATAGAAATACAAATGGCTTTTTCTCCATTATGTTTTACGTGTTTAGAACAAACGTAACCTAATGGACAAAGAAAAAAAAGATTACATTTAGTAAGACACATCAAGAGGAAGCAAAAACTTTAATCCAATTATTAAAGAGATTTAATTTATGGTTACAGAGAGACCTGGCTGTAAGTCTTGTCAGTCCTTGATGTCCCCACCAGCCTCTGCACAAATTGAACAAAACAAAACAATTAGAAAGAATGTGCTGATCAATAAACTCAGCTCAAKAAGTGTCAGTGTTTTGGAAGTTCATACCTTGTATTTTAAGTTCAAAGTTAAATGAATCCAAAGATATATGAAGAATCCAAATTCATTGTGGTAATGTATCTGCTTATATTTAAGTACTTGGGTGGCCAAGACTTTTTGTWAAGATGTATATGAAACAGAAAAACATCCCCGTAAATTTATCTAACTTCCATTAGCCTATAATGTACATTGTTTTATAAGCATAAACTTTCCCCTCTTAACTGTCTTGTTTGGAATAACCAGGGCATTTCATATATTTCAATTTTATTTTTTTATTTTTTAGAAATGCATGGATTATGATATTTTATGTATGTAAAACAATTGCTTAACAAAGATGGACAGATGTATARGTATGGTGTATTTCTTGAACACTGAATGTCAACCATGTATTAGAACGCCTGGGATAGAATATGTCACTAACTTTCTCATTCTA